ACAATTTCTGTCAAAATTGGCACAGGCTTAGATACTTATTTTTGCACTGACCAATTTTATTAGTCTATTTCTCTCTTTCAACTCATATGATTCTTTTACTAATAGTGAAGAAACCCTTCATTTAAAGTAACTGTAGTAATATAATAAAGAATATTATAAACTATCAATCTTTTTTTTGAACTGAAAAAAAATTTGATATTTTATTAGTCATGTTTTTTGCATTATATAATAATGCAAACAATGCTATTAATAATAATGAATTTTATAAAATTCCAAATTTATAACTTATATCAAAGTAAAAATTTAAAAATCTAGCTGTAGCAAATATTAATCTGGTTTTTGATTAATCATTTGTGCAGAGTTTTTTCTTTTATAACAATTTTTAATCACATATCAAAAAGTTAATGGCTTATGGTATTTCCACTATAAGATTATTTTTTATGATTATTTATTACCAATTTATAAATCGAAATTTCGGTTCCATAATTTACCGAATCGAAATTTCACACCACGCATTTGATCGTCATCCGGCGAAACGTGATGTGGCACAAACCAATAAGAATGTCGAAATCTAGTTTGGTGAACTAATTAAAAATGTTGGGAAAGCAGTTTGATCTCCAATTTTAACGCTGACCCTAATCATCACCTTAAAACCAACCTTTAACGCGCTATTTAACAAAATTTTCCGGTTGGGATAATTATCCACCGGATGATGATCAGGAGTATAGGTATATACACCACATTATAGGTTCAATTCACGGCATCGAATCCTCGGAATTGTTAACATATGCAGAATACAAAGATCTACATATATTGCGGAACACAAGTTCCGAAAATTCCGGAAGTAAAGTTTTCAACACAAGAAGTATAATTTATGATGCGTGATGGAATTCTTCAAACTACATCATGATCTACCCTTGTGATCAATTTTGATTGGTTTTATCGTCGTCATCAGAGTCAATTCCAATATAGAACATAGAACTTGAACCGTTTCGTTCCTTCAAACAACAACTTAGACAGAATCGTTCATTCTTACGACAACCTAGACAGAAGGTGGTGAAAAGAAGAACGGGTGTTATTAAGAGAATCGGAGCTTCATTCTTTTTGATAAATAAGAGGAAAATTGTGAGTTTAAACTTTTAACTTCTCTTGGAGTGAAATACTTGGGTTTCTCTTTGGATCGTTATACTAGTAAAATGCTTATGCATTGAACTGAAATGCCTGTTTCCCTTGAGATAGATGGTAGCCTACAATCGTCTTTTATTTTAGAATATATTTACCAGTGTTTAAATTGCTTATTGGGATTACTTATCTTTAAGTAAAACCTATAGTTTAAATCCAACTAGCGTGACAACTACGATTGAGTCTATTTTGGTCATAATCAATTAATCAATCGTTCAATCATGGGTATACCAAAATTTTTCAGATGGATTAGGTGATTATTCAGTATTTCTTATCTCACTCAACCTTTCTGAATTTTAGAAGTTCAGCGAATTATTAAGTATTAATGAAAATTTAACTCATATTTATTAAGCGAGAGATACCCACTATGTAGTCAACTGATTACAGAAACCAGGTATTATATAACGAGATTCACGTGAAATTTTTAGTGCTTGAAGATCTTTAATAATATATTAACCAAATCTTCTTCAAATCAACAGAATTCCAGAATTTGGTATTTATCAATCATTTTAATCATTACATTGCACTTATATATTCGATCTCAGTTTATTTGATTCAAAGTAATATTCGTTGGAATCTAATTATACTCATCATAGGATTTTTATGTTGTGCAATATATTTTAGATAACCTATATCTCGATATGAACGGGATAATACATCAGTGCTCGCATCCAAACGATGTTGACGCACATTTCCGTGTTTCTGAAGAAAAAATTTTCATTGGCATATTTAATTATATCGATCATTTATTTACAAAAATAAAGCCAAAAAAACTGTTTTTCATGGCAGTGGATGGTAATAATTTTTTTGTGAGCTTTATATGCAAAATGAATTTACAAAAACAAGTTGGTGTCTGATCAATAAATATGTTTATAGGTGTTGCGCCAAGGGCAAAGATGAATCAGCAAAGATCGCGTAGATTTAGAACAGCAAAAGACGCCTTAGAAGCCATTAAAAAAGCACAAGCTCGAGGTGAAGAATTACCAGAAGAAGAGCCTTTCGACAGTAATTGCATTACACCAGGTTTGTAAAAAAAAATTTATGATGAACTGATTATTTTTTGAGAGTTGAATTTAACACTTTGCTGTATGTTATCTATTAGGAACGGAGTTTATGAAAAAACTCTCAAAACAACTTGAATATTTTATTAATAAGAAAGTGACCGAAGATGCTAATTGGCGGGATATCCAGATAGTATTATCGGGACACGAGGTTCCGGGAGAAGGGGAGCACAAAATAATGGAATATATACGTACAGCTAAAGCACAACCCGATTATAATCCCAATGTTAGACATTGTCTATATGGATTGGATGCCGACTTAATCATGCTTGGTCTAGTAAGTCATGATCCGCATTTCGCATTACTTCGTGAAGAAGTTACTTTCGGACCGAGTAAAAAGAAAAAGAGTGGGTGCGTTGATTTTCATAAATGTTCATTGAATTATAAAACATCAATCCGGATTCCTTCCATATCTAATTATGCTTTTTAAATTACAGCCGAGTTGAGGAACAAAATTTTTACCTTATGCATCTTTCTATTCTTCGGGAGTATCTCAATCTCGAATTTATTACACTTCAGGATTCACTACCGTTTGAATACAATCTTGAAAGAATAATTGATGATTTCATTTTGCTGGCTTTGTTTATTGGCAATGATTTTTTGCCTCATTTACCAAATTTGCACATAGCGGAAGGTGCATTAGGCTTAATGTTTCATGTATATAAAAAGATATTGCCGGATGCAGGTTCGTATAATATCTATTGTGCAGTTTTGCTTAAATTTTCAAAACAATAAACTATCCCTATGCTATTTTCTAGGAGGATATATAAATGATGGAGGTCTTTTAGATATGAATCGACTTGAGATGGTGTTTAATGAATTAACTTACTTTGAAAGAGACGTGTTTGAAGAAGAATATGTTGATCTTAAGTGGTTTAAAGGAAAGCAAAGAGCTACTATAGAAAAAATGGAAAGAGAGAAAAAGAATAAAATACTTGGTAATAATTATTATCAATTTATTTTTGCTGTTGTATTTGTTTCTACTGACATAGATTTTAATTTATCATAATTCATTTATAGTCATGACACAGAAACAGCGTGAAATTTACGAACAAATCAAGGAATTTGTTGATTCTTGTCCCCAGGAACCTCTTCATTTTCCTGCCGATTTTAATGCACGAGACCGCAAATTCGTTCATGAGCTCGCTGCTGAATTGGACTTGAAAGCCGCAGTAGAATACCATAAAGATGATGAAGGGAAACACATATATGTAGACATGGATTCTGAAAAGGATGATGAATCAGATGACGAGAGAAATGAAATGAGAGCTCAAGTGCTAGCCAAGTACGAAAAAGCTGAAGTTGTGGACGAGGATGACTTAGAAACTATTGAAGAAAAAGAAAAGAAAAAATATGATGAAAAATTTTTTGAGTGGAAGAAAGAGTATTATATGAATAAGATGCAACTCGATATTGAGAATAGTGATCATATTGATAAAATTATTGGTGCATATATCGAAGGATTGCAATGGGTACTTCATTATTACTATAATGGAGTTGCTTCATGGGGATGGTTTTATCCTTTTCATTATTCTCCAAAAATATCTGGTAAGCGATTCATCCTGTCCGGTATATAATGATATCATTGTTTTTTTTTTAACGAGAGTCTAACCCGTATTAAATTATAGATCTACACGATTTGGATCGATTTGATATCAAATTTGAGCTTGGCACTCCTTTCAGACCATTTGAACAATTGATGGGTGTCTTACCTGAAGGAAGCAAAAAACTATTACCTGAGCCATTCCAGGTTTGTGCACAAAAAACAATGATGATATATCAAACAAATAGATTTGCTTTACTTTATCGTTTAATTCTGTATAGTGGTTAATGGTGGATTATAACTCGCCGATAATTGACTTTTATCCGAAAGAATTTGAACTTGATCAAAATGGCAAAAAACAAGGCTGGGAAGCTGTCGTTAAAATCCCATTTATCGATGAGAAGAGATTAATAGCGGCATTAAGAAGTAACTAATTCATTTAATCATCAAATTCGGATGCATAATTTTAACTAATGAATCTTTATTTGGGATTTTCATTTACAGCTAGAGCGAGTAGACTTACGGATGAAGAAACCGCAAGAAATGATTTTGGTGAAAGCATGTTATTTACATATAACTCATCTAGCAATACGTACTACGAATCTCCATTACCTGGAGTCTTTTCATGTAAGATATTTATAGATCTTTTTTTTATAGTATTACTGTTAATCACAAGACACTTATTGAATAATTTTCAGCTATTCGTAGTCGATGTAAGATGGAGTCGTATCATCTTCCGACACTGGAGGGTCTCAAATTAGTTAAGGGTCTTTGCGAAGGGGTACAATTAGGAATAAAGGCAATGGCTGGTTTTCCTTCTCTCGAAACAATACCGCATACTGGGGCAATAGCACTTCATGGAGTCAACGTTTTTAATTCGGAGAGCAAGTTAGTATCACTTACATTATTTAATTTTCAATTCACGACTATACTTAATAATTATCTTCTTGGAAATGTTTAATAGAAATGAGACGATGGTCATCACATTGTTAAATGAATACGAACATAAAAAAACTGAGGAAATCGCTGAGCAAAAACTCGGTAAAAGAATATTTGTCGGTAAATAATAATATTCATATATATATATATTTTTGATCCATTGTCGAGGATATTGGCAATACTTTATTAATAATATTTATCCCTTAGGATGGCCATTTTTACAAGAAGGATTCGTTAGTGCTATATCTGATGATCTATTCAGATACGAGTTATACCCATGGCCTAGTGGAGAAAAACGAGTAACCAAAAACCCTCATAGACCTGATGTTGTTGAACACTGGAGAAGAAAAGCTGATAAGCTGGAACGAGACTACAGTAAAAGACAGGGCACAATTACTGGGACAGTAAATGTTGTTGTCCACGTTCTAATGCTAAAAGGTGCGTATCTCATTTAGTTGTAAATTATCTTAAATAATTCTATTAATTTGCCTATTTTTCTTTAGGTCTCAGACGACTAGACGATGGCGCCTTAATAAAAGAATATCTTAGCGAAGGAAGCGAAATTGATTATGCGGTTCAAACGACTGTGGATAGCGTTGAATTTGAGGATGCTCGTTTCAAAGAGAAACCTGCTATTTCAATCGAAGATGAATTTCCGTTGCATACACAAGTTTTCTTTTTAGGCAGCATTCATTATGGTTGTCCCGCGACAGTTCTCGCTCATAAGGATCAACTTATAGAAATCAGAATATTAGTAAGTTTAATCCTAAATAAGTTTTATATTTTTTTTTTATCGTTAATCTTATATCATTCTCCAGATACCAAGAAGTCCCAGAGGATACGAACCCGTATTTGGCAAAGAGATAGCACAGGACTTTACCAGACGAGTGAGATATTTCCCGTCTTTTGTTGTTGCGAAAAAACTCGGCATAAGCGGATTGACTTTGAGTAAATTGACAGCCAGTTTGCATGTCATTGGCAAAGTGACTGAACAGAGATCCAATTTGGGACTCAATTTGAAATTTGAAGCAAAGAAGCAAAAAGTGCTGGGGTATACTCGAAAGTCCAGAGATTCTGGATGGGAGTACAGCGACAAAGCAATCCAATTATTACAAGAGTATAAGGTAAGTAGTAGTCTGATTTCTGTATTTTTAGTGATCGTCACAAAATGATTTTTAAATCATTAAATGATAATCATTCCTCAATTAATAGAGAAAATTCCCGGAATTTATTCAGGGGCTTGAAAATATGCACAAAGATGGTAATTATAGACCTGAAAATTTTTTTATTATGCTTCTTTCCGTACAAACATGATATTATCAATTTTGTAGAAATATATCACGCTGAAGATTTTTATGATAAAGAGATAGCGGTAGATAAAATCAATGAGATTAAAGAATGGCTAAAGTCGGTGGAAGTACGAGATTTTGAGAGGGTCGCTTTGGAAGCCGAGCAGCTAGATAAGGTACATTTGGTTTTTTATAATTGTATTTAAATTCGTCGATCATTAGATTCAATTAAATTCGTATTATCGTTATAGGAGGCAATTGATCAAATTGAATTAGCTGCAGCAAATTTAATGAAAAGAAAGCTAAAATACAAGCAAGTTCGAATACAGAATATACCTCGACACGCATTATTGAAACCTTCCCATGCATCAACAAGACTTCAAGATCAGAAATTTAGTCTTGGTGATCGAGTCGTATTTGTTCAGGATTCAGGAAGTGTTCCTATCGCCGCCAAAGGCACTATCGTAGGAATAGAAAGGCATAATATAGATGTCGTTTTCGATTCTTCATTTATGAGTGGCTCTACTCTTGGAGACAGGTTAGTCATTGTTTTCTTTTACTCTTTTTTTTTCGAATGGCTAAATATTTAATTTGATTGACAATACATATTTAATAATAATTGAAATAAAATAGATGTTCACAATATCATGGAATGACTGTCCCAGGTTCTGCACTCCTTAATCTATCTAATCCTCAATATCAAGAAATCGACAACCGTGCGAATCACTCGGTAAGATCACACACGAATGCTCCTCATGGGCACAATTGGCAACAGAGTGCATCAGCACAAACTAACAATTATAATCAAAGAGTCAACAATTACCAATATAATAATAATAATAATAATAATAATAACCATAATAACTTCAATAATTCAGCAAGAGGAAATGGAGGTAGAGGCGGTACATATTTAGTGAATGGAAATCACCAAAATGCGAGATCAATTAACATTATCCCTCGTCCGCGTGCTGGTCAACAATTTGTACCATCACCATCTTACTCGAGAAATAATGTTGGAGTGACGACGAATTACAATAACAATAGTAATGGAAATCATGTTAATTCGATAAACGATTCGAATTATCATTCTAGAACAAGAATACCACAAGCCAATTATTCAAATGGCAATAATTATGTGAATGCAATACCATCATCATCATCATCATCATCATCATCTGTTACAACATATCGTGGCGGATACACTAATAATCCGACAAGAGGTATTGTCAATGGAGGAGGTGGAGGTGGAGGAAATAGTTATATCTTAAGATCAAATAATGGACGTGGTGGGAGTAATGCCGTTGCTGGTGGACATTACAGTAAAGGAGTGCCACAACGTGGTGGAAGAGGACGTTCAGGAATTAATACGTAAAAAAAAGCAATTTCATTTTTTATTTAGATTGATAATTTGGATATTATTAATGTGGGATACAGATTTATTATTATTAATTCTTTGTATATTCTCCTACTATCATTTCTTTGTTTATATCTAAATCATCATCCTTTTCCCCCTTTCTCTTACTACCCCTGTAATTTATATCTCTATTTTATTTTTTACGCTTGTACAAAGACATCTCCCCGATAAATTCTTATTCAATGTGTTTTCGTTTAATTTCTTGTTTCTTTTGCGTTTTATTTTAAAGTTTGTTCGAGTTTTCCAGTGTAAATTGTTACGTGAGACACTCCATCATCACAATCATCATCATCGTCAAATGAATACAATAAAAAAGAGAAAGAAATCCAGGTGGTGATAAAATAACACGTGCAGGGGTAGCCAACCAAATTGATCATCATTTCATGCTTCTTTTTGTCAAAAGGACCTAGCATTTAATTATCACGATTTGAGTGTTGTGTTTACATCAAAGGGGTCGACAATTATTTTTATTGTTGGCCTGATTAATACCTCGCACAATTTTCTTTTTTCATCAAAGCCATTTATTCTCGTGACTGTTACACGAAATTCATAACAAAAACACTCAAATCAATGAAAAACAAATGTGCATAAATTATATCCTTTTCTCCGTTACTCTGAGCTTTTTTCTCTAGTCAAGCAGATTGAATTTATTTGCCGTGAGGTACTAAATACTCGCAATGCTTTTGTTTTGTCGCTTCGCTTTCCAATGTCTTTTACTCTTTATGATTGTTTACCTAACTTTTGATTTGTTAATATACAAAAAAGGTCGTACGTACCGTTGTTGCCAAACATTAGAAAAACCCTGATGGTAAGTGTTTCAATGCGCGACTGTTGCTCGGTTTGAGTTCTGCAAATGTAAGATAAAGATTTTCTTTATGTCTGACACTTTATCATTTGTTTCACTTTGGAACAGGACAACGCAAGATTTGAAGAAGGTAGTAGTCGAGAAAAGAGCAGAGTTGGAAGTAAAGCTAGTAGCATAGCTGTTGTTAATAATAGTGCTTTCGAAGGGACTTCGACTAGCAGGAGGACGAGGAGCGCGCCAAGAGCTGGCGAGCAGTTTTCGGCGAATACTATTACTACTACCACCTTTGAAGAACCATCCAACAGGAGGAGGGCAAGGAGCTCTTCACAAACCAGGGATATTGAAAGTATGTCTTTTGTTTAAAATCTTTTTGCATCGCAATTTGATATTTATTTATGATTATCAATGTTTTTCTTTATTATGAAGATGAGATTAATAATACACGAGTGACAGTCAGATCTAAAAGGAGGAGGACGGAAGCTCATTTAGGTATGTAGACTATTGTTTACCATTAATTGTTAAAAGAAATTGACGTAGTTTTAGTAATTATTCCTTGTTTGTGTTAATAAAATTATGAATGAAAAGATCCAGTTGTTGAGTCTTCACGAAACGCTCAAGGACATCCAATAATTTTACCTCCTTTGTCCATTCTCCCCACAAATTCAATTGTAAACTCCATGACATCTCATAACCGATCTCAAGCATCTTCATCTTCTTCACTGTACCCTTCGTCCTCGTCAGCATCGTCATCGACACAATCAGATAGATTACCTCCCATTAATTTATCGCGTGAGGAAAACAGGAACATCGGAGCTCCAACATTGCCTTCAATTCGTTCCGTATTTTCTAATGATCTTGGGGCGCATTTCAATAACAATGATCGTAATAGTGAAGTTTCCTTTATCGATCTTACAAACATTCCGACAACCGAGGAACAATCACCCAGTCCCGATGTTGTGGACTTAACGGCGATTTCGAGCCCTTCGAAAGATGTTATTGTGATTGAAGACGATCCCGCAGGATGTGAAGAACATTCCTATTATCCATCATCTAAGAAAACATATAGCAATACAGCCATCATCCCATACCTCGAAATTAAGTGTGCAATATGCTTAGAACCTCCTTCAAATGTTTCTTACACCAGCTGTGGTCACATATTCTGCCGTGATTGTATCACCCAAGCGGTAAAAGTGCAGAAAATGTGCTCACTTTGTAGAAATCCATTAAATCAGAAAAAAGTTAAACGTTTACAATTCAAAGTAATGTGAAAATTCCTTTATTATCTTACTATCATTATTACCACTATATAGTCTGAAAAAACGTTGAACATTAAATTGTTATTTTCATTTTCATTTTTTTTTATTTTTATTTTTAAATTTATGACATTTTAAGCAGGGTTTGAATTCTGCTTTAACTAGAGGAGGAAAGAGTTTTATAAAACTTTTCAACTCCCTCCCTTTGGAATTATTACACATACCATACACATTCATACATTTTTTTTTTCTTCATATATTAACCACAAAAAATCGGTTATAATTTTATTCTTTTTTTTTTTGCATTGGCACAATCAAATCATAAACACACATTGTATATTCTTTATATGAATCAATTCTATGATAAATTAAATATATAGTACAGCTCTAGTTGAAATTAAATAAGTCCGAATAAAAATACAGTAAGAGGTACAGTATGAACCAAAAGATTTATTAAATAATAATAATTTTCATCATCAAATGTCTATCGATAATGTTTGTCAGTGGTTTTTGGTTTAAGTAAATGAGTGAGTGAGTGGGTGACTGATTATTAGGGTTGTTATGGTTCGAAGGGAATATCAAAGGAAAAAAGATGAGGGGAATTCATTATTAAAATACACGCACAGCATCATCCATTATTAAATCAAGTTGCTATAAAATGAAATATATCAAAGATTAGTTGATCATATACATTGAGAGTAAGCGAGACAAACAAAAACAAATAAACTTACATTTTCTATATCATCTAGTTCTTGATTGACATTGACAAATACTGATTTAATTTCCTCTCGAAATTCGGCTGGATTGATTTGTTCGAGCACTTTTTCCGGGTCATCATATAAACGCCATCCACTTCGACGACGTTCTTTCTGTTCAATCATACTGACACCGGATCTAACGAGTATCAGTAGTTCTTGTAATCCAAAGTCATCTGATAATACCCAATCGCTTTCGGCAGATGATGCAGTTGAAGAGCCAGAGTGTGGTGGTAGGAGTGCATCTTGTGAGGTGTTTGTGTTTTGACTATTCAAATTTTTCGATGATTGTTGTATTGGAGGCGAAGAATTAAGATTTTGAGCGAATCCTCCATCCGGTGTTGGAGGAGTTTTTGGGGAGTAAGATGACGGCGAGTTTGATGGAGAATCGAGATAGGATTCGTTGTTGTTTGGATTAGAAATAAGTTGAGGAATACTTTTAGATGTTATGTTATTATTATTTTGTATCGATGATTGTTCTCTTGTGGAATTGTCGGATAAATTAGAATCAGCAAATTTTTGATTATGTGAGGCTAGAGTAATGCTAGCATTGCCACTTGCAAGCTGACCTGCTTTTACTTTTTGTAATACTTGCTCAATTTTGTCATCCATAACCTGATTTACAATCTTATCGTTAGAATTTTCAACAATTACTTCTAAAATATCGGTGTTTCTCGTGCTCAGGCGTTTTTCCTTTTTACTAAATCTCGGAGGATCAACTGAAACATTCGCAATTAACGGAACATCATCTTCAGCTGGGGTGAAATTAAGTGTTGGAATTGCCTGCATTCCATTATTTTGCACTTCACCTAATTCCTCACCCCAAATATCCTCAATTATATCACTTATATCGATCTCCTCTCCTTGTTTTGGAATAAACGAGTATCGAATTTTCGAGCCAAATATTCGTGAACTACGGATTGATCCGACCCTTGTTACAATATCAACACCTTTTTCAGAGTTTTTTTGCGCGGAAAGAATTGAATGTTGTTTAGCGCGACTGTATTCGCGTTGTTGCTCGATTAGTTGTTTTCGTGTCAAAGCTTTTTCATCTATTTTTTCAAGTTTGGTAGGCAGTTTATTGGTGATATTACTATTGGTGGTGGTGGTGGTAGTAATAATACTATCATTGATTTCATATGACTTCGAAGGTGATGACTGATTGTTATTTTCACGTGAATTAGCAGATGTTGGATGATTTTTTGCTTGTTCAGATTTAGGCTTGACGATGACTTTTGGCAATGCATATCGTTGATGATCATTAATATTTGTCTGTCGGAGGACAAATATTGGCTCGTCAGGATTATAATCTGGTGCAATGAGTGAACTAGCTGATTCTATTGAATCGGTTGATGAATGTTGAAAATTTGGGGTTGATGGAAAGACTGAAACTACTTGAGAACTTGGCGGTAACGATTTTTCTAAATAGAAATATACTTGAATTAGCATGCAATTATTTTTATCAATATTTAATAAATAAAGTCAAGTCACCTTCGCCTTCGGATATTAGCGTTAACTTGTATCTAAGTTTTCCATCATCATCGTCTTCAATATCTTTGTCATCATCTACAAGAGCATCAGTTATGCCAAACTTATCCAATGCTTTCTCAATAACTTCTCCCACCGTAGCTCTTCCATTAACAAGTAAAATCTTTTCTTTTGGCTTTCCTTCTTCGCCATGTGATCGCCTTCTAGCCGCTTTATCAGCCAAGTGTTTTGGCACCGACATTGAAGTTCGTGGCACAGAAATTCCTTTTCTGAGTTGTGGCGGTAAATCATCTGCATATATCAATATATGCACGCGTAATCTTTTTTCACCAGACGAACGGTTATTACGTTTTGTCTGTGTCAGTTTCTTGTTGAAGAAGAATTGTATGGAACTTTGTTGAACGTATTCGTTAATGTCGAGTGCTATTATCGCTTGATGATTGGATACGGTTGATGCGTTGGAAGAGATCGATGAGGTGGAAGTGCGTCTTAATGTTGGTAAGGGAGTGTTGGGAGAAGTGTTGAACGAGTTATAGATTTCAAGTGGGTGATCATTTGGCATTAAATTTATGATTTCTGTGCAAAAGAAAAAGAATATGATCAGTAAACTAACCAGTAATCTAATAGATGACGATAATGAATTATTAATTTACCTCCATGTATCGGTTTAACACTGATATAATAATCATCCCAATTTTCTTGACTATCCAATTTAAATCGCGTCAATGATTGACGTATTAGATCATTAGTAGTTGTAGAATTCTTTAATAAGATTGTCTTTGATTCAATGTTTGTTTGAATATTTTGTCCCGCATATATACGGAAAACACTAGTCAGAGGGGATGTTGGAGTTGACATTGCTGCAATAGGCAATCGTGGATCTTTGATAGGTTCCGGTGAAGTACTTATATTTTGAGGTGGATTGTTATTATTAGAGGGTGGCATATTATAAAGGTGATTTGATTGTAGTGGTATTTCGCCTTGAGTTGGAGGTTGATTATTAGGAAATTGAAATTGTTGTTGATTTATTTGAGGTGAAGGTGTTTGTTGTGGTGGTTGAGGATAACGCACTTGTTTGCCTTGTGTCAGAGATTGTGGATTTTTATTAATTTGAGGTTGTGGAGCAGGACGAGTTTGTTGTGAAGGTTCAATTGAATTCGCATGTCCAGTTTTCATATTTGTGGATACATTAGAAACTGCAGCATTCGATAATGACGATTTATTTTCTTCTTTCTTGACATTCTTACGCTTAGAGAAGAATTTTTTAAGTATTCCTCCTTCTTTCTTCTTTTTGCCCTTTTGTTTATCTTCTTCAGGCGGTAAGTCTTTAAGTATTTCTTCCATCGGCATTTGTTTCTTGTTTTCCGAATCTCCAAGACCGAAAAATTTATTAACTTTAGTATTTTGGCCACTGTCATCATCGTCGTCTGACATATCAAGAAAATCTTTATGTTCACTACGCAGTGGCGGTGTAAGCGTGAGCTTTTTCGTTTCGGATGGTTGCTGATACTGTTGTGCTTCTTGTTGGTTTGATATTTTTGGCCCGTCAGGATGTTCTTGTACAATGTTCATAGTGTTATTCATGATAATATTCTGTGAGGATGGTGATTGACTTGGTAGCAAGCTATTGTTTGCCATAACGGGAACCATTCCGGTATGATGATTGGATTGTTCTATGCCATTTATGGGACTATTATTATTATTGGCAGTCGCATTTTCCGGTCTTGAATTATACTTAAATTGGTTATTATCACGAGATTCATCAAAACTTTGCTTTTTATCGTGTATTTGAGTGGTTTCAATCCTTTGTTGCTGTTGTCCATCAATTCTTGGATGATCTTCAGATGTTCGAGAACCATCATTTGATCCATGATATTCTCCTGATCTCTCCGGTTCCTCCACTTCAACATATTCTTCCGATAAATACGCTTCCTCTTCACCATCTCCTTTATGTTCATCACGTTCCATCTCATCTTCTATCATCTCTGCTTCATCTTCAAAATTTTCCACAGGTTCATTATTTATTATTTCTTCTTTCTCTCCATGTTCATTTCTTTCTATCTCTTCTTCATATTCGTCTTGATGAGGTTCGCCTTTATTATCTTCTCCCAAATACTCTTCTTCCTCCTCTTCCTCTTCTTCCTCTTCTTCGTCCTCGGATGCTTCTACCACAATTGGAGTTTCGTTGAAAGTGACCCCTTTTCGTGTCCCTTTGCTTTTTTTTAATGGAAATCCAGCTGCTGGCATATCTTTTCCATTATGAAGTGAAGATGATAACTTTTCATAAACAAATTTGTTGTTTAGCACATGTTTTTGAATTATTTGATAAAAAGGTATACATATAAAAACTCACATTGACATTTCTGTGTTTATGTAATCTTGCTAACCGTTCATTCGGCGTCTGTTTAATAATATTTATGTGAGTGATCATTTAAAAATTTTAATGTTACATTCTCCAACCAAAAAAAAAAACAATACCTCAATATTATCTGCCGGTATATAACCAACTGTACCAGTTTTCAACACTTTTACAAGCCACCAATAACCATTAGAGTCATCTAACAGAATCAATTTTTCATCCTTCTCGACACTTGCTTGTCCGTCCACTGTTTTTTCAAAATTATGTAAAGCATACACGAGATCAAAGTTGATATCCTCGTCGGGGATATCAGGCGACGACGGGGAATCGTTTTCCTCTTCGAAGACACCTTCATCAACTATGTCGTCTTCAGATGTCTTGTATGCTGACGACTTTTGAATGCCTGAATTTATTTTTTTCTCGAAATGTTACTTGCATATACATGAACAAAGCGAGTACAACAAAGACAAACTTACCACGAGCAGCTGCAGCGGTATCTATTGATAAATTAGTTTCTCTAGGCATGTTTTATCTTAAATAGACGGATTAAATTAACTTCGATTTTTCGTTGTTTGATAATAATGATAATAAAAAAAAGAATGAATAAATATTCTAATAGTTCTAATGGTTCTCTTTCGTAAATATTGAAAGAGCGAGTACATATATCGGTATATAAAAGTTCACAGTATGTGTTTATGTTCAGAATTTATTACAGATTTGTGATACCAAACAAACAAGACTTTTATGTTCGCACGTGTAGCAAAAGTAACCGTCAATATTACTGTTCTGGATAAAATAGTGTTATATCAATTATGAATTTTGAAGTATTCCCTTAATTAATTAAATTTATTTTAAAATGAATGTTTTTTATTGCTTTTAATATTGTTCTTTCAATGTAAAAATACATTTATATCGCAATTCGTCATTGAAAGGGCTTGAAGGAAATAGAATGCCGCAAATTCATTATTATCTTCGAATATTAAGTTTCCAAAGCAAATTCTTTGATTTGGGATTTACAAGCAATCTTTTTTCCTCAAGTCAATACATAATTAAACCAAGCTTAATAATATGATAGAAAAGAAAAAGAACCAAACAAGATGAACATAATACTATCGTAAACTAAAATTTTTCGATCACTTTAACAAGAGCAAAAGCTGCCGCGGCTGCCAACATCCCAACCAAAGCGGTACTAAATGCACCGCTAATAGTATTCTTTGGCGACATGAAAAACGATTTAATAAACCCGAAAAATAATAGAGCGAAAAATGTGACGGCCACACTAATGTATAATCCTGTCATTGCTGATTCGACTAGCATGTATGGAACCAAGGGAATGAATCCGCCAAAGAAATAGGAAAGGCCAATTGTTAAGGCTGAAACCTGAAATTATTATTGTATATAAATAATTATTCAAACCTCATGAATACCAATTGCATAGAATACGCACCCATGAACGATGCGGGTCCGGTTTCTCTAAATTTAACTCGAATTTCATCATAAAATCGACAAAATGTTCTGGATTTGCTACTAACTTCTCAATTAATGGAGATAACGATGCACGATCTAGACCATAAGGTTCGAGAATTTCTGGAATTATGTTATTGTTGGGTATTAAAAACAGTGAAAATATATGTATAATCAATGTCTAAGTATCAGCGTTTATAGAATTTTACCAACAACTTCGTCGATTTCTTCTTCGACGCAGTCTCGTACTTCATTCTCTTCTCTGACTCTTTCGGTAGCGTAATGATCTGCTTCCGACTTTGCGGCTAAAAAACCGCCTAATCCCATCGAAATCGCACCTGAAATGAGTTCTGTAACGGTAACAATAAAATAAAAAACTATCCAATTTCTTTGAATAAGTGTTCTAGATGTGTCGATTTTTTATACGAACCAGCTAAGCCTCCTATCACGACAATTCGTGAATCACCCAATGACGATAAGCCAGCTGCCAATGCAAAAGGAACCTACAGATCAAAAAATAAATAATTGTATCGGTATCAAAACATTTTCATAATCAAATCGAAAAAATTACCGTTAATCCATCACTCAATCCAATTACAATATCACGAACAATTTCAGGCGACTCAAAATGTTTCTCGGCGTGTCGCACAAGCAAAGGTTGATATTCGTGAGAAGGACGACGACGTTGAAGAAGCGGCCGTATAAAAGAAGACATTCTGGGAAATTATTTTTATAGATAATCGATTGATTGATGAAAGAGGAAAAGTTTTATGGGGTTTTATTTATACATGTATAAAATAATGCATCGTCACATCATATCATGTCATTTTCAGAGAATAGAAAACTAGTTTTTCTTTTTACACAAAACATTTATAATTCATAATTTTTGTGAACAATTAACTTTTTGTGGTATAATTTAAAAGAGTAAAGTTACGTTTCATAAAATTGTAAACTCAGGAGATTTCGTTCCGCTTAAAATTTAATTAAAATGGCGTACAATTTAGTTTAGTACAAGTATCTACGTTTGTCATACCAAAGCCAGATTAACGTTAATGTTTTCGATTAAACGTAAATCAGTAAATTTTAAATCTATCAATCGCGAATCAAATCATGACGATGAGAATAAAAAAATCAAGATTATTAATTTTTTCATTCAATTGTATTCTGTGAACAATTTCTAATACAATTCACTAAAAAAATAAAGAAAAAAACACAAGAATAATGAATCGTGGAATTTCATTTGTTGATGACATGAAATCCATAATCAATGATCCAAACTATAGTGACCTCAAGCTCATTTGTTCGGATGGAAGTGTTCTCTATGGTTCACGCATTCATCTTGCCGCCCGATCAGAATGCTTTGATCGATTACTATATAACGGAATGCGTGAATCGGGTCAATACGAAATAAAATTCCCGGAGGTATCAAGTGCAGGAATGAAAGTAGTCCTGGAATTCCTCTACATAGGGAGTATTGACGCGAATAATTTGACCACACAAAATGCGATTGATGCCTTTCAAGCTGCCAATTATTTCTTATTGACTGAAATGGAATATGAGATTATGAAACTTATTCAAAACTATCTTGCAAGAACCCAAAATAAGGAGAAGGCGCTTGAACTATTTTCGCTTGTGATTGAGAAAATAAATGTTACTGAAAAAAATGGTCTTTTCAGATTGCTGGTAAAGTATATTTTGCGAGGTTCGATCTCCTCCCTTCCAGTGCCAAAGATAACTTTAAATATGCTCAAGATCCTACTCACACAAAAGTTCATAAAAGTGAGTAATAACGAATACGAAATTTTTCGCTACATCGTCATCTGGGGAACATACAAAATATCTCCCAAAATTTCGGCTTTCTATGAGCGAATTTTAACAGTTCCATCCGATAGTTATCGTACAAGTCCCGTGGGGCAACAATATAAAGATCCGAGTTCCTTCATTCACTTGCCTAAACCCGCTGCTGTGATCAAAGAAGTGGCAGAATTACTTACTTTCATCGACCTTAAGCGTATCCCAATTGAATTTCTGGCGAATTTTGTTCATCCGCTTGGAATATTCGAACCATCCAGAATTTCAGAAGCTTATCAATTTCACGCTATTATTAATGCTGAAAGACGTGTATTTAATTATTATCAAATTATCTATTATCAATGGGAGCCTTCTATCTGTAAATCGAGACTTTTATTAACGGAAAATAATACGGTCGTCGAAGCAACTGTGTATAGCGCGCCACTGAATGATCAAGGTGTACGCGCACAGAATATAATCTCTGGCAAGGGAATCTACCAGTGGCACGTCGTAATTGAACGTCGACCGCAAGCTGAAGTATTGGTTGGAGTTTGTGGTGTAAATGTCGAAAATTACAGCACAATCATGAAATATCATAAGGATGTTTGGCTATACAGTATTTATGGATATCTATACCACGATAACGAGTCCGAACTCGCACCGTTGTGGTTTACGGAGGGAGACACGGTTACCGTACATCTCAACATGTATGCAAATGTCTGTTCTTTCTTGGTGAATGGAATCAATATTTCCGTGGTTTTTCAGAATTTACCGGATAGGCTTTATCCAGTTGTGGTCCTTAATCCTGGAGCTCGTATTCGTATACAATCACACAAATGATTTTCTTCTTTTTGAATATGTAATGATAGTGTAGTTAATTACCACTATTCCCAAAAAATGTGGTTTGCAAATAGCATTGACGTTGACACTCAATTTATTTTATGAAAGAAAAAATGGTAAATTAGTGTTCTAAGCAAATGGGACTGTCTAAATAACTTCATCAACCTGATTCAAAATTTTAACTTGGGAAAAACTCCGATCAATAATTACAGCAAGCTTTGATACCATAACTATTACAAGTAAAAAATACACTTTTTAATATTATTGTATGAATTATGATGCACAATATCTCAAAGCCTTCATTAACTATTAATAATAAACAAGAAAATCAAGGATACTTTTTCAAATAGTTAAATGTGAAAATCTTTCAACTTATAATTGCAATATGTGCAAAAGTTCTAATAAATTAAAAAAAAATAAAGCATACAGACACTTTTGATGATATAATAACTATTAAGAACTGAGGATAAAAAATTCTTTTTTGGAGTTCAAATCAAAAATATGGAAAGACAAATTATAAAGAAGCAAATATAGAGTTCATATATAGATCTTGCTTAAATATAATATTAGTTTATTTTTTATATTGTACAATTAACTCTCGATATAAGAAAGACTGATTAAAATTTGATATAAAAATTGAACTCAAAATTACTTTATAATAAATTTACTTAATATAAAAAAGCTATTGATAAATTGGAAAAAGTCAGTAAAAAAGAGACAAATCAATTTTTTTTAAAAAATGAGTTTTTGTATCTAATATATTAATATAAATATATAAATTATTTTTTGTATAATTGTAAACACTTATTTTTATAACAAAAAAATTAGATATAATCTCTTAAAGTTTTTATTTTATATAGATTAATTAGTAATAATTAAAATTAAAAATCCAATTATAAATTTGTTAATTTGTTTTTTTATTAATTTTATTAATTTTATTCCAACTCTTAATATAAGAAAGTTTTACTATAAAATTCAAATATTTTTTTAGATTAAAAACTAGTTGTATTATTTTTTATTTTTAATTATATTATATTATAAAAAATTAATATTTTATAAAATTATTATATAAAAAATAAATATAGTAACTTTAATATATTATTATAAAAATCTGAAAATAAATAAAACTTTTTATATTATTTTAAAAAATAAAACAAAAAAATTATTTATTTTTAGAACTTGAATTTTACATAATTAAACTTGATAAATAAAAATTATTTATAATTAAAAAATTGATCTTGTAACTATAAAAATAATATTTATATAATTTTACAATCTTAATATAACATATTATAAAAAGACAAAGAAATTCTTATAATTCTTATATAATTAAAAATATAAAGTTATTTTATATTTTAAATAATAGATTACTTAATATTTTAATAATTTTTTCAAGAAAAATTTTATTTGTCTACAAAAATATATAAAGTATTAGTTTTGAATATTATATATTAATTTAAAAAATTTTAATTTTATTAATAAATAATAATATTTTATAAAATAAATTTGTTATTATATATTAATATAGATTAAAAATAAAAAAATGCTAAACAAATTCGAAATAAAATCAAAAAATCTATAATTAGTAATTTCAAGTACTTAGTATATTAATTTATATATTTTTTAATTATTATAATTTTTTTCTTTAATATAAAATCAAAATTTCATAAAAGTTATTAAAGCATTTCAAAAAATTTGTTTAATTTTCAGCAGTTTATTATTTATTTTTATCAAAAAAAAATTGTTATTTTCTTAATATAGTTATAAATATAAATAAAATATTAATTTGATTTAATATGGCAAATAATTTAACAATAAATTTAATAAATACAAAAAATAATTTATTATTGTTTTGATATTTTTTGCTAATAATATAAAGTTTTGTTTTAGAACAAAATTGAATAAATAAGATAAAAATAAAAAATAAATAAGATATTAAAGAAAATTATAACCAAAAAAACTCAATAAATTAAAGATAATATTTATTTTTAACTTTTTTTTTTTAGCATATATAACAGATTAAATCAAAAAAATATTATATTTAGAAAATATAAATCTAGTTATTTTTTTAGTAATATTACTAATATATATTAATTTTTAATATTAGTGTAAATAAATTTTTTAAGAATTATTTTTATTAGTATTATATAAATAAATAATTAAAATATTATTAAAAATAAAAACTTGAATTATGCTAATTTAATAATAATATATAAATAAATTTTGAGTATATGTAATAATATTTCTAATAAAATTATTATCTAAGAATTTAAAAAATATAATATCTCAAATTGTATATAGAAAATAAAAATTATATTATCTATAAGAATAAAAATCTTTATATTAAAATCTTTATTTGTATTATTATACTTGTCAGAAATTTCTCTAGCTTCATTTTTATTAGAATCTTGATAATTAATCTATTTTTTTATTATCTTTTAGATTATCTAGCAGGCAATTTTGCCTGCTAAAATTTTTTTTAACTAATTTTTGTATATTTATGCCTAATTTTTATAAGCTTAATTTCTTTTCTTCTAAGCTAAAATAAAAATATAGCCTATTTTTAATTAATATAATCTAAATTTGTAATTTTTATTTATAAATTGCTCAAAATATTTGATTTATTTTGTAATCAATTCTGTAATTTTATTATAAATTTTTTTTAAAATTTAAGACCAATAATAAAATTTTTTAAAATTACTTATTTTTAACTCAATAGATAACTATATTTTTTTATAATTGTTATCAAAAGTGAAAATAACTATTATAATATATAATTAAATCTAATATTAAGCAACTTTTTTTTAAATATTTTAATGTTTGATAAAAATATATTTAGATATAAATTTATGGTATTTTAGCAGGCAAATTTGCCCGTTAAACCAGACGGTTTAAGAGGTAATGCAATAATATTGTATTTCAAATTACAATTTAATTGAGATGATTCCAAATCAAAATCTAAACCAAATATAGACTATTCCCTAGCACTAATCCTAATCTTACTCTAACTCTGACCATATTTCTATTTTAATTTGGGACATGACATAATAATAATTGCATATTAATGATAATAATAAATAATAATATGCACATATTATAATACTTGAATTGCGCAAAAATATTGGGGTTGCTTATTTTCGGAACTAACATTTTGCATAGAGCTTGGATCGGAAAAGGAGGGGGTTGCTTATTTTCGGAACTACCCATTTGCATGAATTTCAGAGCGGAAAGGGGGTGGGGTTGCTTATTTTCGGGTTTTTACGGTAACAATTTTTAGCTAGTATAGTAAATCCGCAAAAAAGAGAATAAAATGTACTGTATTTATAAACGCGATCATCCTAACATAATTTCTCCGGGTGTTCATATGGACATTCTAAATATAGAAGGTCTCTGTTTTTATCTTTCGTAAAAAGTGCACTCCTTGCATTGTACAATTTTTTTCGACAACAAGGAATTTACGCGTGATAATGATCGTCATCTGAGATGAGCAAATCCGTAATTATAAATCGTGTCATGTGTGTTCATTAAACCCTAGCTGGTGGCACAAACCAGTAAATTTTTTATCAGCCCGGCAAAACAAATCCGACACAAGAAAATGAAAAAAAGCAAAAAATGTAAAAAATTACGGGAAACAGATGCCTAAATCTAGCTAGGTACACTAAAAAGTATCGGGAAGGCAATTTTACATACAATCTTGGCTCCAGCTCTAACCCTAACTCTAATTCTAACCTTTAAATTAACCTTTAACAATAACCTTTATCACCGTAGAATTTTTCCGGACATACACAAATATCACATGATCTGACGTTTTTTTGCTGTGGCTAGAGTATTATGTTCATTGTTAGTGTATCGATCACATACCACATGCTAAAAAATAGGCACGCTGATGCGCGAGAGACTAAGCTAATTCATTTTGTTTTGCGAAATTAATAATTCGAGAAGGGATATTTCCACTTCTATCACGCGGACCATAAGATCAATTAAGTGACAATAGTGCCTATAAAAACACGCTATATTTCGGGCCATATTCGTAGGTTCGTCCTTGTATAACTCGCTCGCAATTCAAAATCACGATATTACACACGACCTTACCTCGCATAAATAGCAGAAATCGCTAATTCACTTCACTCTACAAAGATCAAACATCGCGAAAACGTGTACAAATTGTAACACAACATTACACAAATCTTACATTCAAATGCTCTCAATCACTTCTGATTTTTTGCCACTTTTCGTCATCATGTTCATCCAAACACTACTTTTCTACATCATAACTAGATATAATTCTGGTAACATTGAAAAACAATTCAATGCGAAAATGACTATCGCAATAAAGAAAGCATCACCGATCTATCCGAGCCTGTGAAACATATTGGTTATGACATTCGCGAAGTCCGCGATGTTATTGCTCGAGGAAGTAATGCCGGTTCTGATACCTCACGAAAAACGCTCTATGGCAAGGTTGTATCCAAAGGTGGCCGATGAAATCCGGGACCTCGTTATCTAACATAAGAAGAGAAAGCAATTAGCGATGCCACGATTAGAAATTTTCATAAAAAGTTGACAAAACGCCCCGAAGACACAACCGTCTCTATAAAATTATGGTTAGCAAACAAAAGGGAGAGGGATGAATAATTTAGTGATAGCGCGGGCCCTAGTAGAACGACGAGAGAATAGGGGGTTGTCATCGCCTTTGGCAAGCTTTGGAGCTGACTTCCCTCCCATGCAGTCGTGCTAGATCAAAGCTTTCATCGAATTCAAGTACTAATTACCCGCACGTGCTCCGTGTAACTTCTAAGCCACAGATCCTCACTAAAAATAGACAAAATTGTACGTATTTACTAATAAACAAGATTTTAACGCCATACATCGAACAGGATCTGGATACGGAGGAACTTATCGATTTGTGAAAGCGGATTATTTGAATCAAGTTAAAATCTTTTCCGGGTTTGTAATTGTCCCAGAATTTCGAATAATCTGGATCGCGATCTTTTTTTTCGGTGTAGGCCCATACATTATTGCCAATAACAAAAAATAAACTGAGTGTAACGAAATAAAACCGGCGTAAAGTCGCTATTTAAAAAGTTGAATTAAGCGATGCCAGAGCTAATATCTATAATATGCAATCTCAGTGAAAGTCTAAATAGCAAAGCAAACATATTGGTTTTTTTCTCTGCGTCAACCCCTTGCAAAAACGTAAGTTTTCCGTGGTTGTCCAAAGTAGCGTATAGGTTTCGTTGGTATCTACCCAAACTGTTATAGATTTTCAGAAGTTGAGGATCAGCAGGAGCATCAGAAGCATCAATACGAGCTGGAGTAGTAGGAGTAGGACCAGCAGTAGAACTAGCAACATTTTTTATGAAATTTGAGAAGAGAGTGAAACACCCGAAACAAATGGAAAAACCATCATAGTTTTTATTTTTTGAGTGGGAACTGACGATGCAAAGATGAATCACGCGATGGTGTTATTATTCTCACAACGATCCGCATACTCTCATCTCGGAAACTTTCGGTCACGAGACCAGTTATCTACACTGATCATATGGCTTATCAAAATCATAATTTATTACATGATTCTGAGAACCCAATTTGCATCAAAAAAGATTAAGAGCATGGCAACTTGAAACTATACGACAAAAGACAAGGTATTTGCTGACGACAATTTTGACTACTTCTATGGCATTGTTACAGATGATAGAGAGCGCAAAAAGGTGTTAAGTGTTATCGTCTGTGTGTTAAAGGATAGGGCGTGTGTCAAAAATCCCCAGCCTCCAAGAGAACAAGGGTAGAAAGATACCGCTCCAAAAAATGATGTGAATTTCCAGACTCTATAATTAATTTTTTATTAATAAAGCATGATATGTATTTCGCAAAAAAATTATTATTTATATTAGTTTTCGCCTTCAAGGCATTTTTTAATTGCGCCACAGTAGTGTGCCTACTGAATTCAAAGTCGTCGATGACCCGTGGATTCACATAGCAAAAGTCGATGACGATTAACCCGAAACGTTGCAATGCATGAAATGCACTCAGCCAATCCGAAACTATCATATGTGGCACGGGCTTTAACTCGATATACACCACAACTCTATTTCGGTGCAGATCGATAGATTGGGTGGATATTGCTTGTATGTCTCATGTAGCCGAAAAATATCGGATTTCATCTGTCGTAGCATTACAATGGAGAAGGAGCGATTCATAAATGCGTCCACTTGGTAATCATAATCATTTATATTCCAGCCTTGCTAATGTATCCAGAAGCATTCATCATCAATATCATAGGATCATGAGATGATGATCACAGGATTATCAATACGAAAGTAAATAATGATTATTATTTACTTAAATAGAAATTAAATAATAATTAAACAAAAATAATTGAAATAATTAATAAGAAAAATTATAATTATTCAATAAATATATTAATTATCTATTAATAAATAAATATTTATTCTTATAACAAATAATTCTCATTATCTCATAATATATAATAAATAATTAATAACACTTTTCACTCTATTTGCTGTATAAGTTACATAATTACATAATTAATATATTTTTTGAAGTGTAAAATCTAGTGATCTGAATTAGTTAAATAGTTATCTGACTAAATACAATCTTGTACCAGTTTTTTGATTTATATAATAAAAGATATTTTAACAGAAAATCTTTTTATTATAAGAGATTAATTTAAGATAAGTATAATATAAAAATTCAAAAATAGTTTTATTAACAATATTTTTTTATTAATATTATTATAGTAGTAATATAAAAATTGTTAATTCTAAATTATTAATTCTAAAAATAATTAAAAAATACAAAATATTCAAAAATATTCATATAATAACAAAAATCTCTCAAATTATTTCATTTTTTATTTCACTTTTTCATTTTTTATATAGTTAATTATTTCATTTTTTATTTTATTTTTTCACTTTTTATACACAGTCAAATCTCTTTATAGTTATCATTTTCAGAAAAGCAAAATTGTGTAAATATAAAGAAAATGTGATTATAAAAGATTTTTTATTATATTTATATATAAATAAAAAAATAAAATAGGATAACTATAGAGAAATGTAATTATAAAAGAATGTGACTATAAAGAAATTTAATTATAGTTAATTATTTTATTTTTTATTTTATTTTTTCACTTTTTATATAGTTAATTATTTTATTTTTTACTTTTTAAAATGTATTATTTGAATTAGTGATAAAAGTCACAATTATATTACAATTTTCTGATTGATTATTATAACTTTATTATAATTTTCTAATTGATTACTACAAGCTAAAACTAATTAAAATGTTGTTACAATCAGATTCTTAATAAGTATTATCATAATGTAAATATTTAACCAACGTCTAATAATAGTAATTTTACAATTATTCAATCTTGTTGTAATTGATATACTTCAGAATTATCATGCAGTGTTTTTTTCTATTAGTTGGATAGGCTCTCATTATTACTAATAAATATTATATCTACTTAGTGTGAGATAGTTTTATAGTAATATAATATTAATATTCTATAGCAACTTGGCAGTTGTTCAATAGTATACAATAAATGCAAATATTTAATATAAAATTATTTTATTTATTATTTAAACTCAATTAATATACAAATTTTATTAACAATAAACAATGATTAGTTTATTAATTGGCTAAATTTTGTAGTAATCAATTGATACCTTTTTCAAGATCTCAATATTGCTTTATTTATAATAAATATTTTTCACTAATGAATATTATATTAATGATAAATTATATAAGAATTATAAAAATAATAAAATATAAAATTTATCTAATTGATTTATATATAAAAATTATAAAGAATACAGAGTTTATAATGTTTTTAGAGTTTATAAAGATTATAGAAATTATAAAAATTATGGAAATTATGAAAATTATGGAAATTATAAAAATTTCCAATTGTAATAACATCATCTTTAATTTGATATATTGCAAACAAAAAATAAAATCATCTTTTAACAAAAATCTTTTTTCAAATAATATTTGTCTTTTTTACTTTTAATTATATATATTAAAAATTATATATAAATAACTTTGAATCATATTATATCAAACAAAATACTGTTATTAATATATTAAACAAAATATTATTATTGAATTTATTAATTTTGATTAGATATTTTTATTTTTATTATTTTGAATCTTTGTTATTTTGATATTGTTATTTTTGTTTCTTATTTGTAAAAAAAACAAAGTGAAAGAGTTTTTGTTATTTTGTTATTACTAATTATATTATTTTAGCTCTGAAAAGCTTTATATAAGTATAGAAAATTAATATTTCAAATTTTCTTTATTATTTATTTTTTTATTATTTTATATCTTCTTTTTTTTAATCTTTTACTCTTCTATAATTCTTTTATATTTTTTTATATTTTTGAATTATTATAATTTTTATAAAAATTAACATAAAACTTAAATATATTTTTTTCCTTTATTTAATTTTTTCTTCCAATTCCAATTCAAGTTTATAAGCTAATTTAATAATTAGTAAATAAACTTATAATATTATTCTTTTTTATTATTATTATTTTATATTAGTATTTTATAATAAATTATAAAAAGTATATAATATAGAAATAATATAAAAATAATAAAGAAGTAAAATAATTTTTGATTATATTCTCATAATAGTTCTGTTTTTTAATATTAGTATTAATTATTATAATATAAAAGCCAAATATAATTATTCAAATTTGTTATAAGTTATTTTTTATTATAAATAATATTAATTTTGTTATGAAAAATTATAAAAAGTTGCTTCAAGATCTT